TTATCATTTATATATTTCAAGAAAAATGATGGGACTAAATATGAGCGCGAAATTTACAACATTTTAGAATCATCACATGACACAGATTCATGGATGACGAACGTTAGAATTGGAAATGGAGATAAAGGAGTTGATATCCTTTCATATTACAAAGACATGTCGTTGATGGTACAATGCAAAGATCATGCAACGAAAGTGGGCCCTAAATATCTGAGAGAATTGAATGGAATAAGGCCCAATAATTCCAATTTGTTGAGAATAATGGTTTCGAAAAGCGGTTACACAGCAAACGTATTGAAAGAATTGAAAAACAGGAAAAAATATAAAAATATAATGTTTACAGATGGAAAAAATTTAATGTCAGAACTTAAGAATTATTACAATAAATACAAAAAAAATATCGAACAAAAAAATGCGAGAATGCATAAGAAATGCAAAAAGTTATCTGAAAGTAATAAAAAACTACAAAAGCATAACAAAATTATTCAGCAAGAGTTAGATGAAGCTCTTGCTATTCTGAATAAACCTAAAAAAGAGATGGGAACCCAAACCGGTACATAAATTTCTCTGTACGATTCGTATGATCATTCAGTACTTTTTGATGAGTGTTATAGTATGATTTCATTTACATATATAGTATTTTTTCATCTTACATTTTTATAATGTCTTAGTATATTTTATTTGTATTTTTATTTTTATTTTTCATTGAGAATGGGATATCTATACGCAACTGATATAATTAATAAATTTAGATGCTGACTTAGCAATATTAGAAATCATTCGATATACTATGATAAAAAATTTAAAAATATATAATATAAAACTTAATAAAATGGTCTTGTTTCTCTAACTTTTATGCTTTTAAATTAAGAATTAATGATAAATTTAATTTTTCAATGAGCTTCAATGCTTTTAAACTCCATGATAATTGCGTGACAATGCATTTTATTCGTGAATTTTATCGTATTCATTTATTTATTTTATTAAGTTTTATTAGCGTTAGTATTTAGGAGGTTAATACATTATTGTATAGACTTATTTATTTAAGATATTAATAATCTATTTAACCACATCTGAATCGATTCTTACAGTCGTTGGCTTCATAGTCAGCGGCTAAGTCTACTTTTTAAAAAATACAATCATTGTTAACTCTGCTATTTTTATGATGGAAATGATGTGTTAGCAACAAAGCTAAATAAAAGTTAATGTTTAAAGTTACTTTGTAATGGCTTGCATTATACACTTTCACGAAATTTCCGAATTAAGGCTTGGTGTACCAAAGTGCATTTTTTTGGTAAGAGAATATTTCTTATAATATTTAATTTCATCTGTACGACATAAAAGTCCGGTCATTTATTAATTACCACATCAGGAAACAATTAATATACTAGTATGGAATGATTATGTCGCACGAAAATTTTTCAACTGTTTTACATCCGACTTTTCGGATATTAGAATTATAATCGAGTTGGGAAGTGAACCATAAATAAATTCAATGTAAAAAACTTAAAAGTACTTTGTTTTTCTTTCGATAATCCTTTGTTAATTTAATTTAGAATTCTTCTGTAGATTTCAAGTATGTTAATTCTGTAATTGAAACGACAATCAAACTTCCGACTCTGCCATTTTAATCATTATTCTTCGGGCATTATTTTCCTTGTTTTTCAAATTGTAAATCATTTGACAAACCAAAAATAAAATATGGTTATTTTTGTGCACCATATAAAGTTACAAAACAATTTTATGAAAATAACACAAGTCGTCAAAACATAAAAGCATAATAAATGTTACATTGAAGAAAACTTTTCCGAAACAATGTTACACTAATGATTTCACACTTTTTTTTATTAGAATATTACTTTGAAATAAATAAAAGATCTTAATAAAATAAATTAATAGTAAAAATATATATATATATATATTTCTTATTAAGAAATTATTAAAATACATGTATATTAATAATATTTTTTTTGTAATTGCTATTGAAAAAGCAACTAACAGGTATTGAAAAAACATTTTGTAATACGTATGTCATTTAGAAAGACTTTTTTTTGACAATTAAATAACACTAAGAAACAAATGTAGGTTTTTTTTTGCAGATGTTATAGAACAAAATTTTGACATCTTATTAAATCTTTTTTTTTATAGGTTAATATTCTATTAGTATTTTTACTCTTTTATTAAACTCCAAAGTTGGATTCAAGTTCAATTTAAAGAAAAGCAAATTATTAAGAAAATATTTATTTCTTTTTCCGAACATAGGTTAATCGTCTTCGGCAAAAAAGATACATTTGTCGGAATAGGTATGTATGATATGATCAAAAACCGGAAATTGTTATTCCTAAACGATAAGAAAATTAAGAAATTGATTAATCAAATATCCAAAGTTTCGATCTACTATATTAATAACTTTTTAACAGAGATTAATTTTTTTTCGGTCACACACCTGCAATGCTCAGGGCCTTTTCAATCTGCAGATTTTCCAGAGTAATACAACTCCAGAATATTTGATCACAACAGTATGTCCGTGAAATATATTCGCCATTTTTTTTTACTTCCGTTCTAACAAAATTACTTTATTTTTCGAAATAACGTAACCGAGCCAAATAAAGACCGCATAGAGCATTAAGGTTGAAAAAATATTGGAAACATCATCTGGACGACGCAATTAAGGTGGGTTTACTTTCAGTTGAAGCTGAATATTTGCGTTTAAGCACTGTAAACTAATAACTTGATGAGTATGACTTTAATATTATTAGCAAGTGAAAAATTATTGCTCGACTTTTTTTAAGATAAGCTCGAATTGGTTTGAAATAAGACCGGTTGTAGACTTTTTGCTAAGGAAATTAAAGAGAAAAAACCGAGATATTCCTCGTGATTTGTGAAGACCGAATATGAAATGCTAACACTGGTCGGTATCCGTTGATCCAGGTTTAAGTGATGCGATCATACTTGGCGATTCCAATGTCACGCTATTTCGTATTGCTACAAAAGGAGGCAAGTTTTATTAGTTAATCATTTTTTTCCGCTTAATGCACTTCGAATGTACGGTGTAGAATTTCATTTTTATTGATGAAAAACCATAACTAAAAATGGGTAAATGGTTACGATCAATTTCTTGGAATTTTCTCATACTATACTTTTATTTCAGGGCATGCGCGGAAGGAGAGCCTGATATGAAGAGAAGGTTGTCATACAAAAAAATAGATCCATAGCAAAGAATTTTCATCATCTATCATAGGCTTCGTCCCGGTTTTGCATGATGAGTTTATGGCGGAATGTGTTTCATTATTTTCAAGGCATAATTGAACAAGCACGAAGAAAAATTATTTCTGAATTCCAGTTCTGCGCCATTTACCATCACTAAGTTAGGGACTTATCGCATGAATATTAATAAAATAATCGCATTGATATTTTATTATAACACGTTCATTTACCGAGGCGTACATAGCTTCCGATGTCTTGCAAAAATGAAAGTCTTGTAATTTATTTTTTGTGCATTCACAGTAGTTAGTTATAACTTATTATAGTCATGTACTCGACGAAATTTATTAACAATCCCTGACGATCTTTATATACCAATTTTTTATGAGGGAGTACTCGTTGATCAGATTGTCGAGATGCGATAATATTAGCGTAATTTCCCAAAGCGTATTCCAAAATTGATCCTGCAAATTATATAAAAAGGTGATGTCCCAGTTAGTGAAACTTTTATTCCTCTTATGTTCGGAAAAAATTAAACAGATAATTACTATATTGTACTCTGCAACTCGAAGTAAGAGATTCTTCCGCAGATCAACGGTCAAAAAAATTCATTTCGATCAAACTTACCATTATTAACATCATCGATATCAACAATCAAACGAACGAGTATAATCCGCAAAGTAATAAAAAGGTATGTAGGCTTCAACACGATATTAATCGAATTTTCCGGCTCTACAGATGAAGCGGAAATTTTGATCTTGTAAAAATGATGATCCCCAGCACGTGCCTCATCTGCAGGTGGATAATCACATGCCACGAAATTTGCAACGAAGCTTGGCGCAGTATCGTATAAAAGAATCGAAACAAAATCTCTATGATGCGTCAAGTGAACTATTGCAAGAAATTCATAACTATTGTTTGAAAATAAGCAAAATGGGAATGCTGTAAAAATCAAATATAACGGTAAGAGTGAATCGAAAATATTGCTGCAATACTAAAAGCTTAAAGGTCTGATCTGATAAAAGTATTTCTTTCTTACATCTCAACGAAAATATTAAAATGTCTATCTGGATAAATAGTAAAGGAAATCTAGCGGAAATCCTTTTTGAAGGAGGAAACGTCAATACTTTAAAGAAAAAAATCAAGGCTGAATTACCAAATAAGTTGAAAACTTTGATGTTGTCGATATAAATTTACGAGCACATTGGGAAATGAAGAGAGATTGCGTGAGGATATTATAATTGACTCAAGTTGTGGTCGTTGAAACTGGTAAGCTTTAAGCCATAGAACTAAATGTGACGCCCGCGTCTTTATATCAACTAACTTTGCCTTTTTGGTCTTCTAACTCAAATTATCTTAGATGGACATCAAAGTAAGTCTTTACGTCGTAATAATTGGTCAACCAAACTTGATGCGCTATATTTTTTGCTTCAGTACAATGAGTTCCTGAAAATTAAAAATTGCCAATGCTTTCCCGATGGTATATAATTTATTATTTTAGACTCACAAAATATACATGTGGACTGATCATTACTCTAATATAAAGAACCGAAACCCTTACTTTATGCTACAGGAACGAAATCGGTGTATCAACCGGATCAGAATTTGCATAAAAAGCTACGAGACGAACTTAGGGAGCATTATGTAAATTTTCTTAATAAAATCATGACAAAACCTGTATCTTTTCCTATCAGGAGCTGGTACTGGTAAATCTAGAATCCGAAAGACCGCACTTGAATGTTTATCAGATGATATGGATTCGGAATTGAAGAATTCCGAATTTTTGGGTGTTCAAGATTGGTTTCGAGAATGGTAACAATATGAAGCATGGTCTAGAATTGAGCGCGTTTTATGCTATTGGTTCTCGAATGCTCTCAAAACTAGATGTTGGAACTGGTTAATTTTAACCGGTTAATTAACCGATTAAGACAGATTGTTAACCGGTTAAGAATTTGAAGGCGATTCCAAAGCGGGCTATTTAACTGCTGGGTGTGGATTTTAACGGAATCTTCTGATGCTTATAAGGACCCAGTACTCCGAGACTGGTGTTTCTGATACTATGAGGATCACAGGTCCAAAAAAAAATCCAATTAGCCCAGCACTCAACTGTGGCAGCAATTTGTAGAGGTTGGAACCGGTAAAACCGCAAAGGAAAAGGCAGGTTAAACAAAGAAATAACAGCATTAAAAGCCAAAGAAGAAAACGACACTGCCACAACCGAGGAAAAAATTGAACTGTGGGAAAAAGGAAACCCTGAAATTGAGGAGCATATTGATGGGTCAGGGGAGGTTAAACTTGCTTATCAATTTAGAAATGTAAAAGCCAACACTCCCGCGGGAGAAGTAGGAGACCACATGGCATATTTAACCTTTGACAAAAAAAGAGATATGGAAGTCATTGAAACAACCGAACTTAAAAAGGGAAAATATGAAAGTGTTTTAAATATGGTGCCAGGATTTCAAAATTGGAAAGGCGAGGAAATTTTTAGTAAAAAATGAAAGCCAATTGACCCATCAGTAGAATACGACCATCAGTAGGGACAATAGAACCAGAAAAGCCAACACCTAACGCTATAACTATTAAGCCAAGAGGCAGGTTAGAATTTGCGAGCGAGGACGATGATAGTTTATATAAAATGGATAGTGTTAATGTGAGCGTGGATGGTAAAAATGTCAATAGTCTTTTAATTGTAGCCCAATTTGGTAAAAAGAACCAAGCGGATTATGAGGAGATTATAAGTAAAAAAATGACGAGAGACTGAAAAATATGAGTTAAGAATAGTAAAAAAATTATAGTTATTGGTGATGGTAGAGAAATAAAGGACTAATTTTGACTAAATGGGATATTGAAAGGGCGAGAACATAAAATTATGGAATACTATAACGAATATATAACTTTAAAAATATTAAAGGCGAGCAAGTGGTAGGTCTTGTGAGGCATCAAATAGTAGAAAATAACATTGACCCAACGGCTTTTTAACCGGTTAATTAACCGGTTAAAACGTTTATCTTGTTCTTGTGATATACATCGTGATCATAAATTATGATAGGACCAAAAAAATTTATATTGTGAACTCTGTCTGGAAAGATTTGTTAACTGGTTAAAATATTTAATCTTAACTCTGGCCCAAATTTAATTTTCGGGCAGAATTAAAATTTTTTGTGATTACAAAATTTCGCTAGTTTTACCCAAATTTTTAGTGCCGGCCTATATTAAATTTAACCGGAAATTATCATATTCAATTTGTATTGTTGATGTTCATGAAGGGAAATATTCTATAATAATGGCATCAGCATCATACGGGGTTAGACATAAACCAAAACAATAATCCAAATGAAGTACACCAATACAAAAGTGGAGGAATAACACTCTTGAAACAGATTTCATAAAGAAATTATCATTGTCAAGGGATTTTTCCTAGTAGATACATCCAATTGGTTTAAATACATTGGATCATATGGGTAGTATTCTATTAAAATTGAGGTACAGATCATATGATTTACTATGTCTCGTAACCCACTTTTAATAGATCAGCTCCCATATGCAGGTAGGGCATATACCTACGCTGATGTAGGCAGCAGGATTTATGCAACATAACCAGGACTCGCTTTATTATAATCGTAATGGGATGATTTGGCAGCCATAACACGACTCGGAAGTATTTTTCTGTTCATATTTTCTTTCCATCAATCTAGTGCGTGATGATCGAAAGTGGATGTATGTATGAAATAGCATGACTGTCATCTATCTAACACGATCCAAAAACTGAATCCATTTTTCATTTGAATCACTACGACATCATGGAAATCCGGTCAATTGTTATTCACCGATTATCCTATATAAAATTATCACTATCATGATTAATCGGGAACCAACAACATTAAAGATAAGATTGATTGTATCATCGAAGTTTGTAAATTTATTCTGAAACAACCTTTTTCATAACTCAAATTAATAATAAAAAATTTACATTCAAATAAATTTTGATTTCAAATTTTGAAAATTCGTACATAATCATCGAAAATTATATTAAATGCTGTATCTTATCATAAAATTTTTTTATTACAATCATATTATATTAGAAATATTTCAATGATAAATAGAATAAAAAAAAGGGCGTACAAATAAAATACCGGTACGTTGCTTTCCGGCTTTTTTAATGATTATTCCGTTATCAGTAGTACCTGGATTTTCTTAAAAAAATTGCCATCATCGTTCTCTGTTTTTAAATAAAGATGAACATAGCAAAAAAATAAATAAATAAATAAATTGACTCATTAGTTCGTTTCAAAATTATTGAAATTGATGTTACAGCGATCGAATTTTTTAAGTTAAAATGAATAAAGCTAGAAAAAAGTGTGAAGTGTAATGTAATAGTATAGAAGCTCAAGATTCTACTTCAGCCATAAAGGGAGATTCATAACCAAATCATCCTCCAGAAACTGTAGACATTTATGGTCGAAACGTCTTCGTAAATTAATTACACTACACATGAAACACTTTCACAAATAATTGATGGTGTTGCATTCAGTTCTTTAGTATTTATATTTATAAATAAATGTATAATGTAGCAGAAAATTTTAATTATGTAATAATGAAGCAAAAATTACTCTGAAGTTTCTAAATTATGATGTAAAGTGTCATTGAACCGTTATCTATTCGAACCCAGGTACTAATTCCTACTTTTTATACTTAAAAAACTTGCTCAGTGATCAATGTTGATCTAGAATCATTTTGTGTAGATCTCTAGAAAGTTGATTATTGATGATTTTGGCAGGAGTGTAATAAGTCAGGTCTTAGTGATCACAATCCTATGCCATTGGTTTGGGAATTGGAAAAATATGAGCGATTTTCCATTCGTTGGGGATATCTCCAATAGAAAAGCACATGCAAATAAGTTGCTAAAGGATATATTGTAATTTGGTACTTACATTTCATTAGTGATGCCAGACGATCTTGCAGCTTTGTCCTTAGGAAGTGATTTACATACCATTAACCATTTATCATGTTGGTAGTTGAATGGAAATGTGTGACAGGTTATGCCGAAAAAAAACTTTTTTGGAAATGATCGACATGATGATCGGCACTTGCGCCACAGACAATTTTCTACGAATTTTTTTTCTTTTCGAAACCAAACCTTAATAAACATTATATTTAGACTTAAATATTACATATGTAGGTGTATTTTTGCTCGTACTCCAAGTTTACTTAAGGCAGTTGGTTGGGTTTTTGCAGTAAAATTTGACTTAGACAATTTTTTTTGAAAAATACGCCACATACTTTAAGTTATATAATCGGCATAACCTGTCACACATTTCAGACGTGCTTTCAGGAGGTATTGTTGAGATCATTGTGAAGGTATGGATTATGCAGGGACCTCAGGTAGAGCACAATTCTGAAATGTCTGACCATTGCCTCTTTGATTTCTTCTAAGTCTACAGTAAATCTTTTGGTACTATTAATTGGATTAGAAATCAATAGTCGATCTAATATAATAGTACTCTTTTTACAATTAAAAATTGAGTTGATTATCTTAGAAGAGTTATTGAGAAGATCATACCAACATTTGTCGATGAGTTATTTGATAGCTGATTTTTTTGAGTTTACTAGTATTAATTTTAACTAGTTAAAATAAGGATTTGTGTGTTTCTTTAATAAAAGCTTTAACTAAATATACATTATGTTCATTGAGAATGTCTAAAAAGTAAAAAAGTATCAATTTCATTTGTTAAATAATCTTTGCAAGAAAAAAAGACACATGATTCCAAGTAGGAACTTTTGGATAGCACTTTAATTGGATTAATTTATCTTTAAACAAAAGAAGCAGCTGCTCCAATTCTTTTTTGCAGTAATAAGAGATTCTAGTGAATCTTAAAGTTATTTATTATTATACTGATATGAGATTTACACTTGAGTAATAATCATCTTGTTTGCAGTTATTATAGTGGTCTTGATATTTGTCTAAAGTGAGTTTATACTATAACGATTTATAGGAATGTCTTTGAGTATATCAAAATTATGATAATTATAGTAAAATAAATATATTTAACATAATTAATTCATTTAAATGAGTCTATCGAATGAAAGTTAAGGACTTGTTATTTGTTTTAGAATATGTGAGACTTAGCTTGCATCTGACAATGAATATAACAAAAAGGTGAACACAATTTTATGGTTAGATAAATAAAGTTCAGACAAATCCAAGAATAAGTACAAAAAATCTGAAACAAAACTGGAAGAAGCAAAGATGATATTAATCTATGAAAAAAAATCTCTAGCACTAAAAATGGGTTTGGGTGAATTATGATATATGTCATAAAGGTCTAAGCAATTAAGTGCAAATAATCTATAGTAGAAATTGAATCACTAATAGATGGTGAATTATTATCATATTGGGGCCAATAAGTATTGTGATCAACGTTAAAGTCACTTACAGCTAATTTCATAATTTATGAACCACTAATAAATTGCAACTGAATGCGACTAAAAATATTTTATAATAAAATTACTATAAAATATTGTGACTGAATGTGACTGAAAAATTATTAATGGTCTATAAATTATTAAATTAGCTGTAAAAAAATAATTTTAAAATTAGATTTGATACTATCTTTGATATGTTTGAGAATGTCTTTGTAAAGTTTAAGTCTATCTTTTTTTAATTGAAAGGTTTGGAAAGCATGCAAATAAATACTGAAAATGCAAAGTTTATTATGTCTCGCTAAAAATAGATCAATATAAATAAAAATGATCATTATCTAAAAAGATACGTTGAATATAAGTTGCCTATAAATGCTTAATGAGAAGGCTGATACCTATGAAAGTATTGATACAAGAACTCCAAAAAATGCAAAAATAGAAGTTATGTAAATATTGGTAAAATTGATCTGATCTATATTGAGTTTCAGTAAGACCAATAAAATCAATGTTAAAATCAAGAAAATGTCATTAATTAAAAGATTTTTAATTTTATTTTAAAGAGAACTAACATTATGTATTACAAATGAAAAGTGGTAATCCTTTTGAAATAGTAAAATTGTGATTTTGGGTAAACATAGTATGATTGTTATTATTATTAAGATTATTTAAATTCATGATTAAAATAGAAGAAAAAGGTGACAATTATTATGAAGTAAGTTTGTCAGTCAATGACATAAGTTAACTATTATGAAATCTGTTTGATTTTTTTGCTTAGCAATTATAGTATTTTATTCATTGATAATGGTTTGCATTTTCATATTGATAGGACTAGGACCAGAACTTTCACTGTCATCTGACGATATAGTAATAATTCTGGAACATTTATTAATATAAGAAGTAGAGTTACTTTGTTGAAAAATGAATGTAACTGGAGTTAAAAAGACAAAGGATCAGATTGAGTAGAAGAAATCATCTGAAACTTTTCTAGTTTTAAAATTCAAGCTTTGAGTATTGATAAAACTTATTTCGTACTAGAAAGCATGTTAAGAATTTGATCAAGTTTCTTGTTGGTATCATTAAGCTATAAATAAAGCTATTTAAGAAATTATTCTCAGGATTTGTATCCTTACCTTTGCCTTTAGAATTATTGTTTAAGGTTTAGGAATAATTCATATTTTAATGGGAATTTAGATGGTGATTATTTTGATTACAGTTATTTCTATTAATGAATGCATAAGAACCTACAGGCTTATATTGATTGTATAATTTTTAAACAGAAGGTAATTAGGATTGAAAGTGTTTCTTATCAGAAATGTTATCTTTATTAAATGAAATAATCTGAAGATACTTCATAATAATATGATCAAGAGAATTCACATTTAACTTCTATTGTATACTATTGTAAATCATTATTTTTGAAGGCATAATTAACCTTAATTGTATCTAATAATGCTATTCGAAACCTATTTTAATATACAGTCGACCCTCTCTATAATCACACCTTATATAATTATACCCTCTTTATAAGCATACTATATTTTAGTTCTGATTTTTTTAAAATATAAATACCCTCTTTATAATCACATATTAATTATAATCACTATCAGACCAATTATTAAACCGATATAATTAGTTAATATAATAAAATTTCCCTTTATATAGTCACATTATCATGTGATAAGATGTAGATAATATAACTAAAAATATTATACGCGTTTTATATTTTTGGCTAATAAAGAAAATAATATATGCATTTTATTTTCTTTTGGATTAATTTGGGTTGATCTTTCAAATAGACGAAGAACAATAATATCTCAACATTTACCAGAAGATTTACTTGAAAAGCAGCAAAGTTTTTTAAGTTTTGTCATATTTAGAAGAATACAGCATGTTTATCCACTAAAATTTATTAGAAACATGAATGAAATACCTGTAGCTTTTGATTTACCTAATTCATATACCTTAGAAAAACGTGGTTCTAGTTCTATTAATATTAAAACTACAGGTCATAAAAGAAGCACCTTTACAGTTATTTTAAGTTGTATGGCTAATGGATCAAAATTACCACCTATTGTTATTTTCAAATTAAAAAACATACCTCGAGAAAATTTTCCAGATGGCATATTTGTTAGAACAAATAAAAAAGGATGGTTAATGAAGATGAAATGAACTGATGGGTAGAAAATATCTGGTTTAAAAGAATCACTGATTTATCATCAAATCCTAGATCACTTCTTGTTTTGGATTCTTTTCGTAAGCACTTAGTTGATTCTGTTAAACAAAAACTTAAAGAAAAAGAAACCAATATAGCTGTAATTCCTGGTAGATTGACATCTAAGCTACAACCACTTGATGTAGTAATTAATAAAAGTTTTAAATTTCATGTAAGTTTTATTTATGCTTATAATATATTATAGATATTATTATTAAATTATTAAATAATAATTATTTAAATTATCATATAATTTTTTATTTACAGATTCATGAATTTTATAATAACTGGATGACAAATGAAGTTCATGAATTAACTCTAGCTAAATGAATCAAAAAACCTTCTTATTCTTTAGTATGTTCATGAGTAAAGAATTCATAGGAATAAGTTAATCCAAATTTAATTTGTAAATCATTTAAGTGTTGTGAAATTTTGATTAAAACAGATGGTACAAAAGATAATGAGATTTTTGATTATGATAATCTTATAGAAGATAAAAAAAATTTTAATAAAAATGATGGAGATAATGAATTACTTGAAAAAGGAGAGGATAGTGAAGATAATTATAATAATTGGGATGAATTTTAATAGCAAATTAATGGTTTTTGCAAAATTTTTTTTTCTCTTATGATCCTGGTACATTTTGTATTGGTTTATCACTTGTCTAAGCTTTATAACGATGTTGTTAATAATTTCTTTATTATATATATAATTTGATAGTTTGAAAAAAAAAAAATAGATTTTAAATTTTTGCATCTTATTGGAATTTTAATAATAATAATAATAATAATAAAAAGATTACTTAGCTTATAATATTCTTTTATAATTCTAATACAGTAATTATAATAAAAATTCGTTTATAAATTAATAAATAAAAATCAATAAAATCGCCTATTACTCGGTTCAAAAAAAAAAACACCATGTAAAATACGCCCAAAACCCTAGGGGGGTAGTTTACATTATAATAATTAATATAAAAATTAGTGTTAATTTTATCTACAACCCTGCATATATGCTATGTATGCTAAGGGATAAATTTGTTTCACTAATTTTTAATCCGATCTAGAATATTTCTTTTTTTAGAAAAAAGTAATAACATCCAGTTTTGACACCAAACCGGTTCGGAGCAAAAAAACATTTATATTGAATTTTTTTGACGCGTCCAAATTTTTTTCCCCCTTTCTTACTCGCTTAATCGCTTTAAACGCAACGTTAACTTATGTTTACAGTTACCAACAACTCAAGACTTTCTACATCAAAAAGTTATAGAGAACTTGATCCAAATAAATCATGTATATATATTTATTTGAACTTTTCTCATTTCCTTATCATCAAAAATTTGTCACCAAAAATTTATCATCAAACTTTTTTATAACCTTTTCCCCCAAAAATTATTATCGATTTAGGCAAACTCGATAGAATCAATATCTTCAAGAATGTGTCCGTTGTTGAGATCATTTCAAAGAATGAACGTCACTCTAAAAATATGAAAAGGAAAAGAATCAATTACTGTTATAGTGACACAGAAGAATGCATGACCGACTCTTCCGATGACTATAAAAAAGATCATAAAATTAAATCAAAAAATTATGAGTCGCATCATATGAAATTTGACCACATTGACCCATCTCCGAATCATGATGTTAATGGACAAGAAATCTCTTTTCATCAACAACTTGAAAATGTCAATGTTGGTATCGAATTAAAAGAAATTGATCCCTCGTTTCATCATAACGAAAGATATAATGGTGAAGAGTTAAGATGTGCGGTATCGGATTTCAATAAAGCAATTCACATCAATGAAAACCAATTCGTTTGTAATGAACCTGGATGCGGAAAAGGATTCTCTTTTTTGTCATATTTAAAACAACATCAAAAATTAAAACATAATATGAGTCAGATCGAGAAGGTTAATAAACAACAGCAAGATGTCAAGGTAATAAAGTGTACACTGCCTGGATGTAATAAAATTTTTAAGGAATCCAAATTTTTGAAGAAACATTTGGTACTTCATAAAGGGGAAAAACCATTCATTTGTGACGAACCTGGATGTGGAAAACGATTCGCATTACGAGATTATGTAAAAACTCATCAAAAACGACAACATGAAATGAAACGTCATGAAAATAAACATCATCAGCAATCTAACAAAGATAATGAAGAAGTAAAGTGCCCAAAGCCCGTAAAAATCCATCAAAAAAATCATAATAATAGTTCGTTATGTGCATCCGATGATTGCGTTGGATCAGGAAGACTTGCAAAGTATCCTACCGAAAAGAATCACATTGCCGAACAACGGCCAATCGACGATACACGTGAAAATGAAGATTTTGTGTTGATGACGATTAGATGTCCAGTCCCCGGTTGCAATAGAATATTCCAAAAGGAAAAATCTTTGAAAAAACATTTAATGATCCATAACGATGAAAGGAGATTTGTTTGTAACGCATATGGATGTGGTAAGAAGTTCGTTTTATTATATTATTTAAGATGTCATCAAAAACGACATAAGGAGTCCAAAACGCATGCATGAATATGTTTCTATCCAAAATGTCAATGTTAAAATACAAACAACTGAAACGCGAAAAAATCTATTATGATCTAAAAGAATTTTTTAAACATAGACTTTTAAATATTGGACTTGTATGATGAAAAGGTCGTAGTGAATTGATTTATAAACAAATAAAAACTTTATTAATTACTTTTAAAAAAAATTAGAAGAAAAAATTTAATACAAATAATTATTAAAATGTACACTGTACACGGCAAATAAACATATTATAAAATTTGATTTAATTTTGTAAATTTTGTTCATTTAAATTGGTCAAAGATTTTCTTTTCGCGGCTTTATGACCTTCTGAGAAGTTTACCATAAGATTTTCAACCTCCAAAATAATATTTTTAAACATTTTAAAAAATGAAGATTCATTTTCGGTAGGGTTTTGTTGCTTAATGATATTAATTACTATATTTTGTTGTACATTATTGATAAATGTAATATATTGATCTTTCGTATTGGAATTATTAAATGTTTTTGAATACATCTCTTCGAAATCTTTAACATTGTCTATATTCCATAATGGGTTAGATTGATCGACTTGATGATGATTTAATAAAAATGTCTTGAACACTTCAAAGTTCACGAATTTTGACTTTGAGGATGATAGTTCTTCATAAGGAGGAGGTGGATCATAAGATATGCCATGACTTTTAATTTGATCATATTGTACATGATTAACAAAGTTAAGATATTGGACTTGTACATTAGAATCATCAAATGTTTTTGAATACATATCTTCAAACTCTTTAAGATTATCCATATTCCATAACGGATTTGATGATTCTACTTGTTTATGATTTAATAAAAATTTCTTGAACTCATCAAAGTTAACTATTTTTGACTTTGATGATGATAGTTCTTCATAAGGAGGTGGTGATTGATCATAACATGGATCATTAATTATTTGTTCCTCAGATGTTGTAATTATTATTGGTAGATCTGTAATCGGAAATTCAAAATTATCTAGATATAAATCTTCTTTCAATGTTTCATTATCTTTAAGAGTTTCAGTTGGCAATATTAAATCCTGTACATCTCCATTCACAACCGCATTATCCGATAATTGTTCATTGTATAAAATATGATCATCTTCCAGATATTTTTGATGACTTAAGATTTCTTCGAGTTCGGCTCCATCCATATGTTGCATATAACAACATTCAACGCCTTCATTTAATGTAATGTGATGATTCTCTTCATCATATCGTTGATAATTAATGATTCGATTTATTATTTCAACAGGTTCGTTTTCTTCGTTTGCGATATGATTAGATGAAGTTAAAGTGATCTCATTATCTAAATCATTCTGATATCTAAGTACTTCTTCAACTTCTGGTAGATCGTTGTCGACTTCATCATTGATTATTTTTATACTTGAATTCTCATCTTTCTCAATTTCCTTCTTTTCTTCGGGTGATATGTTATCGTTTTGTAGGTTTTGTAGACAAGAGGTATCCACCTTGTTATTATTTTTATCGTTTTCAATCCTTTTTTCGGATTTATCTTGTAGTTGAGGGGTCTTAAAAATTCTATTATCTTCAATATTTGTCCTGTTGTCATTATTAACATAATATGTATTGTGAATTGTAATGTATTTAGGAATCTCAGTTATCACTGTAGGATATCTTGTTTTCACACTTATTAAGGATTCCCGACTAGAATTACTACTTCTTCCGGCCTTTGAAGACTTTTGTAAAATATTCAAATTTGAATCTTTCTCTCGTTCTTCAAGGATTCTTTTAAACTCATTTAAAAGCTCATCTTTATCAAATGTATCACCTTGTAATGATTTATTATGTTCATGCTTTTCTTTAATCTTTTTGTTAATCTCTTTAATTTCTTGAACCGCCTTGATAATAGTAATTCTTTCTTTCATTAATTTAGTTACGTTATCAACGATACGGTTACGTAAACTAACTGTTTGTCGTCTACGAATTTGTTGGAAATTCGTTGATACTCTAGTCGAAATTTCACGAAATTTTGCATTTAAAATGATAGTATTGCGAACACTATTAAATCTACTTTTTGGTTTTCGTTCATCATGAGATGAGAATGATGTGTGTTCTGAATCTGGAGTGGCGGGAGGTGTGATTTGTAGAATAGATTCTCGATTAAAATCAGAATAAGAAGATAATGTTGTGGGATTCGAAGAGGTTTTCGTAAATGAGAAAGGGATGTTATGAGGTTTACGTAATGAAAGAGAAAACAAAGAAATGGATGATAAAGAACGTGGAGATTTCGTAGAATTAGAATTAAGAGAGTCAAGGGTGGAACGTCGAGATTTGAAATGTTTGAAATCCACTTTAATCTATTATAATGCACGCACGTTAGATTAATAAAAAAGAGAAGAGAAAGGAAAACAAGAAAAAAAAAAAAGAAATTTACCGTATTCTTGACTCCTTCCTCTTTACTGATTTTCCTTGTAACATATAAAACTTCTACGGCCTTAAAGGTCAATTGTTTTTTAACGTCAGATTCATATATTTCATTACAAAATCCAATAATTTCTTGAATATGAATCTTCATATGAAGAAAGAACTCTGTGAGCATTCGTTGAATCAAATCCAAATACCCGATCAAAAGGGTATCAACATGATCAGGTAACGAGCACCCCGTCATACTCCTAAGAATAGTTATTTTCAAAATTTGAGATTCTTTTTTTTTTTTAACAAAAAAAAATATAAATAAATAAATCATAATAATTATTATCACTTACCCTCCGGATTTAAGCATTTTATATTCAAAATTTCGAAATTTTGTATTTTTCCTTTTTACCGTTTTAAATTCTTCAGTTGATAACCCATATAAATGTTTATAATATAGAGTGATCCTTTCTGATTTTTCTGATTCAAGATCACATTCCAAATATTCCCGACGTATTTTGAAAAAGTCAGCGCGTGTCATTTGCCAATTATAATACCACTCTCCGGCGGCATATTCAAACTATATTGTAAAGTGGCGCAGGATATTGATTTGATTGGTTAACGACCGAAAATATAAAGAAGTGTTTAGAAAAACACACATCAAAATAGGTCACTTACATTCAAAACTTTAACAAAGGAACCAAAAGCAGCCCAATATTCTTTATTTATGACATTAAGAATGACATCAAATATATTACTAGTCGTGCCAAGGAAATTATTAACGCTTGATTGGTCATCCTTAATCTTTCTTAAACACGTTCGTATTTCACGGAGGGAGAACGTGATATTTGCGTTTATAACCTTTGAAATTCGATAAGTGGACCAAAATTTTGAGACGGATTTATAAAGGGATTCTCGGATGTTTGCTTCAATCGCTGCACCGGATTCATCCGCAACCAATTGTGAGAATATGTGTAATACTGAAGACATGGCACGACTGTGAAAGCAAAATTTAAATGAGTCAATCGAAACAAGTATGTCTAAGCGACCGTACGTTATAACGAACGTAACCTACAGGTGAAGTTCGAGTCGAGCAGTCGAATTTCCATAATGAACCCATTGTCGATTTGCAAGGTGAATGGCGGCTTTAGAAACGAAATCCGTCACTGAAAAAGGATAAGAGAAAAGATTACAATTTTATCGTTTAAAGACCATAAGATGTGATATTAGGTAATTTATGATAATATACCAATTTCATTCGTAATATGACGACCGACCAAATCTTCTGTCAAACGAATCGTCTCCTTCAAAATGTAGCCATAGGCTCTGAAAAAAAAAAAAAAAAAAATAGACCAAAAAGTCAGAATTCCGAATGAATACGCGTTCCAAAAAAAAGAAATTTTTTTTTTTTTTAAAGATTTTTCACAAACTCATAATAAACTTACATAACATTTTCATCAGCTAAAAGGTTAAGAATTTCTTGATATTCTTGGATTTGATTTTCTGATAATTGGACTTCGGAATTAGTTGAATCAATTGAAGAAGTTTCAATATTATTGATATTATTAGATGTAATAAGTGGTGGTAAAACATAAGAATTTATTGGAATATTCACGGATGACATTTTTAATTTTAATTTTTTGTTTGGGAAAAAATGAAAAAATGAGCTCAAACATCCCACCTTTTTAAAAGAGTGAGTGGTTACGCAAACTTAAAACATTGCAAATGTCGCACAGACCATTTTAAAATGCCAAGGTCAAATTTGTAATTTGCGCAGTATATTTATTACCAATATCATAAGTAAATGGATTTAATCATTTCACTTCTTTCACTTTATTCTTTTTTTTAATAAAAAATAAAATAAAATAAAAATAAACAAGGGTATCGTTCCTGATCAGGCTTACCCAATTTGTCTTACAATATAATTCAGCAAGTATTTTTTTATATTATTTTAATAACAAGAACAATAATTAAATCCACGTTTCAAGAATTAATTTTAGACTTGAAAATTCCAGATACAATTAATAGAAGTTAATCATGTATAAAAAACGACACAATGAGTGACGATTTAGTCAAGAATCTTCAATTAAATATTTCACAAATTAAAAAGCCTTTATGCAAATTAATTAAAACGATGAGTTTGTGAAACCAAATTTTAATAGAAAATTGGAAAATATAATCCGATGTAATCAACAACAGTCAATCTTTTTCCAAAAAAGTCATTTATAACGAAATCACCAATCAAAATATCCAAGTTCCATGTGCACGTAAACAATGACATCTCCAAGGCTTTTTAGGTTAAAAAAATCTGCAAATTTATATCATTTTTTTGCAAATTAAAGTGAACTTATCGTTCCGCTCGCATTTTCTTTAATCTTGATCCATGTGCAATGATGTATTGGTCCAATTACCCAATTATGGTAATAATAAATTCCCCTATTGTATGTATTATCTGATTGGTTGCAAACATGTCAGCCGTATGCGTCTTTAAACACGAATATGAGGTTCATAATTTTATAACTGGTCTAAAATAAGGAAAAAAACGTAAAACACAATTATTTGTGGTGACAAATTTGTAAAAGACTTGCACGATTAGAAACACATGTATCACCAAATTGAGTAATGATCTTTTCTTGGTTATGTTTTACCATATAAGTTAAAAATAGAACTTTTATTATTTTTGGGGGGCTTTTGGTGATCCCTTTTAAGAAGAATATAAAAAAAAATTATCACACTACAACTTTGATTTATACCAATTAGGTTTTTGTTTCATCCGATATGCTTCAATCCCATAAATGGCTTCTTCAGACTTCATCATTTCTAAAAACTGTTCTTTAATAAAGTTCCGTTTTTTATTATGAATCTCGGTGTCATTAAGAACTTGGACTAATTTTTTAATTTTACCCATGACTTTGGGTGCGCTGCTTAGTAATGTTTCAATATACTCTTCAACCTTTTCATTCAAGTCGTTGTCACCGCCCGCCAACGTACTAATAAATCCATCCTCCCGTGCTTGTTTAGCTGAAATCCTTTCCCCAGTTAACATATATTGCCTGGTTTTAAAGGTTCCTAATTCGGCCACAATAAATTGTGAAATAATAGCAGGTATCAACCCCCTTTTAATTTCGCTAAAACAAAAATATACTTTGTCTTCGTTACATATCCTTATATCTGACACAAACACCAATCCTATTCCACCTCCTAATGCTGGTCCATTTATTTTAGATATGACGGTCTTTGTTGATGATTTTATTGTATCATAAAATAAAGTCCCAATTTCATAGGATTTTTCTATAGAATCAATTTCATCCTTGTTGTTAGTAGTGGATTCTGTTTGTTGTAAATCCATCCCTGTACAGAAATATTTTCCTTTTCCTGTTATAACTATTATGCTAATTGAAGGATTGGCTTCTAACTCTTGAAAAATTGAAAGGAATTCTTTTATCATTGAAAGTGTTAATGAATTACCATGTTTGGGTCTATTTAATGAAATTGTGGCTACATGATCTTTAAGTTCTAAGATAACCTCTTTTGAACTCATGATTATTTTACAAAAAATAAAGGGAGAGATTGGTATTTAAAAAAAAAAAAAAAAAAAAATCAGGTGTCCTAACTAAATTTAGGGATCTTCCTTGGTGATCGCTAGTGTTGTGGCTTAGACGATATAAAAAAATAATTTTTTTTTATTTTCATTAACTTTTGCGCATAATTGTTCTTCGTTTTGATTTTCTCAACATAAAGTGTCTTACAAAAAAAAAATATATATATATAATATATGATGTCATCATGACAATGACCAGCATGTTTGTACCTTTTTGTTCCTACTATTATAAATTTATTTGGTGATATCTTTCAATTGTTCAATTATCTTTTCACATTTACGTTGGGTGATTTCAACTTCTTTAAGTACAGTTTTTACGTCTTTATCAACCCTGATTCTTTTTGATAATTGAACCAAAGATGCTTCTTCGTCATTAGGCTCATAGAATCTTGGTGGTGAAGGTGAGTGTAATGATGATTGTGGTGCTAATGATTGATCCTCTAAATATTCCTCGGAGGTGTCGGTCTGTGATGTTTCATTTTCATCCAACCTCCGTTTTAACATCTTCAATACAGGTACCAAACATTCATCTGTGATGTCGGTCGATATAATATTACTATCTGCGACGAAATCATCGCCAAATATTTCTTTCATCTCATCATAAAAATCAAAGTCCATGGGTTCAACCCCTGTTTTAATACATTCGTGTACCGAATTATAATCGGCAACCAATCGTGCCCACCTTTTATAGTGTCATCAGAATGAAGTGAGCTTTTAAAATTTTTAAAAAAAGTTTAAAATGTCATAATTCATATACCTCAATTTAAAAGCTTTCAAGGTCCTTCCTGAATATCTTGTACAATGATCCGAGAACATATCACTCCAAATCCGTGATTTCTCGGCATTACGTTGTGCCGCTAATAATAATTTGTGTTTGGATTTAACAGCAGTGATCAATGACCTAGTTTCCTTTCTACTCCAATTAGAACGACTTTTCTTCTTATCTTTACTACTTTCGATTTTACAACTAGTATCAGGTGTTGAAGATGGTGTCCCATTGTAATCTTTTTTCTTTACGGTTTCTTCCATATGAATGTTTAATAGAACTGGATCTTTGAAGAACAAGTAAAAGAAGAAAGGATATAAAAAAAATGAATAAAATAAACATAATATTTCAAATTATTAATTAAAGCTTGCTCTTACCAATATTTTCATGAGTAAAAGAATTCTCATCACCTTGAGATTTAATAATCGCACGTTGTACCTTTATACCCTCTATCTCCAATAAATTATTGTCACTTTCAAGATTTGAAATTAGATCATCTTTCAAGTCCGATCTTCTTCGTACTTTAGTAAAAGCGGAATTATAACTCAAATGATGAGATGACGGTGAAGAATTAAGGATTGAATGTAAATTTGACGTAAGAGATGGTAGTTGTTTATTATCATTAAGATATGAAGCAAATGGACGTGCAGGAATTGAGCTCCTTAAATATTCTTGTCTGCTATTATTGTAAATTGATATATTATCATTGGCAGACCATGTTGATATGTTATATTGTGGTCCTATTGAACCGTTGATATTCTTGTTAGATTGATAGTATTCAGAATAATATGCTGGCCAATAAGTAGTGGTATATGGTGAGTTCATCAAATCATAAGTAATTGAAGGTTTAGGTAAATAGAAATTAGGAGTTGAAGTATTGCTTTCTTGTTTTATTGACATTCCAAAATTATTCTTTTGATTAAAAGGTGGAATATTTCTTGCATTTAAAGGAGAAACTTTAACAGGAAAGGTTGTTTGTGAGGAAGAACTTCCACGGAGAATAGAGTCCGCACTCTCATGTTTATTAATTTGTTGAAATGTATTCAGAGGAGAGTTTGGTAAATTAGAAATTGATGAAATTGATGGTAACATGAATTTTGGAGGGTTGCTACTTTCATTTTCTTTATTTTCGGGGACCGTCTTGTCCATAGCAACCAGTATAATATTAAATTATTATTAGGTATTAAAATTTTGAAGTAATAAAAAAGAGAAGTGGTCCCGACGCGATAGGTCAGTCTTTTATACTTCTAAACAAATATTTGATATAAACAACGTGACGTCTTATCAAAAAAGAACGTGTTTTTTTTATTTATATGTGTTAAAACAAACAAACACAGATTATGTCGCACAAGTTTCCATTTGAGGTTATGCGAGTTTATCAAGTATATTAAATATACGCGTAAAATACTTTATAAAAAGAAGATTATTCGAAATACCGTAAACGGTTGACTAAAGTACCCCCTATAGTATAATACCCTCCCCATAAATCTGATTTAAAAGACCCGGGTATTATACATAAGGACATCGAATAAAAAGTTGCGAAAATTTGTATAATA